TCATGGTTCCAATAGATTCAGTCCATGGTAAGCTGGCTCCAAGGCAGAAATGGCATGGAATTTAACAGCATGGCAGAGGAAAGCTGTTTACTGCATGGTGTCCAGGAAATAGAGGGGGAGGGGGCTAAGGACAGCAATCCATCCTTCTAGGCCTTTCTATTGCCCATGACGGATCTCCTAACAACACAATAAGCTACTAAAACCTCCATGATCCAGTCACCTTCCAAACACATGAGACTTTTGGGGGACGTTTTAGATCTTAACCATAATAATTCAACAGTATGGTTTTATGAGAAATGATCAAAGGAACAAGCAGCAGAATAAAAATGTGTTTGTGAAAAGTTGTTTGTAAACATTTGGTACTTGAGAGAGAAAAACTTGATGTTCTTTTGTAAATTCTCATGGAATTGCAACTTTCTCATGGTGGAGACCACTATGAACACAGACTGGTGACTGTTTAGATCCTGATTTCTTCACTAGATATTGGACAACTATGACAAAGTAAAACAGAACCATAGGCCACAAACTTTAAATCAATTTGCCTTTTTTTAAATGTATTCCCCACTCAAGAGGTTCTTCCCTTTATCACAGAACAATCTAAGCTGAACTATTCCATTTATTTCTTTGTTGTGATAAAATACACATAGAGTGCAATTTTCCATTTTGGCCCTTTTAGAGCATAAAAGTCAGTAGCTTTTAGCATACTTTCACTCCAAAACATGCATCATCCATCTAGGGCCAGAATCTTTGGTCACTGGAAAAGGAAGCCCAAGTCTTTCCCGTCCTCCCCTGACCCAACCACTGTCAACATCTAGCCTGCTTTCTCTACCAGTGAATGTGCTGGTTCTGGATATTTCCTACCAACAAAATCACACAATATATAGCTCTCTCTGATTGGCTCCTCTCACTGAGCATAGTGTTTTTAAGATTCATTCATGATGCAGCATGTATCAGTACTTTACTCCTTTTTATGGCTGAATAGTATTTCTATTGCATGCATACAGCAAATTTTCATCTGTTGATGGAGAGTCATTTTATTTTAAGGGAAATTCTATTTACAAAATAATGTAAAACTCAGTGATCATGCATACCTTTACAGCTGTAATTGTATATATAAGTTTAACCTAAAGACTTTTTTAAAAATTTGACATCTCTGGCAGAAGCCTGCCTATGAGATAGTCTATATATGAAGCACATGAGATAGTGCTGGACCTCACCTATAGATTCAGGATTTGCCTCCATATAGGCAAGGAAGCCATGGACAAAACTGCCCCAGGAAAGATTCTAGAACATAGGACAGAGGCCTGAAGAGGCCCAACATTTGGGGGCAAAGTGCAGGAAGAGAGTCTTCTTGAGATTCTCCAGAGAGAGATGCTGCAGGTGAAAAAGTATAACTTAAGCTTATTACTTGAGGAAAAACACTGCCTGCTTTTCTATAGGGCTTGGAAGAGATCTAAATGAGACCACAAACTGAAGAAAGGACAACATACGCAACCAGTCTCTGACCGCTGGTCAGACTCAGGGACAGCTGCAGGCAGCGGCACAGCGATGGAACTTCCTCTGAGCCTGTGTTTCCCAGCCACTACCACCAGCTTCTAAATATGTTGCTTTCTTTATCTTATAGCATCATTCCCAATGCTACCTAAATGGAAGCATGATTCTTAACCTCTTAAAAATCAGTCTATTTAAATTTTTTTCGTGATCATTCACCATTAATATTAATTAATTATGGTGATAATTAATTAATTATCACCATTAATACCAAAGGAAATGGAGATCTCTAGCAAATGGAAGGAGACCAAGAGGTGGAGTGGGAGAGAAGAGGTAAAAAGAATTAAGATATATTCTGTTCTGTGCTCACTCACCATGAGGACTGTGGCCACCATGTACTGCAAACGTGGACGAAAAACAATAATTTATTTCAAATACCAAAGGCAGCTAGAGGTATCTGAGTTGGGTGGAGGAGCTGGAAATGGAATCCAGATTCCAGTGTGGCAGAGGCAAGACTGCGGGGTTCCCCGGGAAGGTCTCACCTCCACACTGGGCCTGTTCTAGCCCTGGATTATCGCACAAACAAAAGCCGCACCCCAAAAGATCTCCTTGTCTTGATAGTGGCAAAGGAAAAGTTCTTGTCACTTTTCAAGAATATTTCATATTTTCCCTCCCATTTTGTGGAGGAGGGTACTGGGGATCGAACTCCGGACCTTGTACTTGCGAGGCAGGCAGCGGCACCGCTGAGCTAAATCCTCAGCCCATTCCCTCCCATTCTTGGTAAAGAACAGCTGGCCCAGGTTCATGCCCCACCCCAGAAACAATTTTATTATAGAAATTAACTTTAAAATCTTCATAAAGTTATAGAGTCAAAAGTGGAAAAATCACTGGATAGAGCATTTGTTCTTTCTTTTTGAATCAGATTATTAATGTCTTAAACTTGTTATTCCTATAATATCTTTGACTGTCATTTCTCCCTTTTGAAAAGTTTGTTTGAAATTTTTTTTTTAGGCAGGGTCTCACTATGTAGTTCAGCCAGGCCTTGAATTCATGGCAATCCTCCTGCCTCAGCCTCCCAAGTGCTGGGATTATAGGCCCGACTATTTGAATATTTTGTATAGACTCTCAAAAGACATGGTCCCACCTCTGCATTCATTTTTAATGTAGTTGATGTGATTGTTTCCTCTTGGATCTTCTAAAAGATCTGTTAAGGTGTGAAAATTTTTATAACTTTATTTGCTGTAATCTTTCAGCACTGTAATCTTTCTTCATATTTTTATAAACTCAAATTTTTCCATTTTTCAGAGAGAATTTCTTCATGCTTCTTCTTATTTAACAACTTGATGAGGTTTTTTCTTGGAATTTTATATTTTTGGTGTATTCTTTTCTTTTTGTATGTCCTTTTATTGGCACATTTTAGGTGCACAACATAATAACATCCATCATTGGAAATTTGCACCTTTACATGATGAATCTTGGTTCTTATTTTTCCCCCTTCCCCTGCCCTCCCTTCACCCCTCCATCCCTCCCTATTTACAAAGACTTTGTTTCCATTTTTTCATTTTCTCATATGGATTCCATTCCCCTCTTTCCTTTCCCCTACCCCTCCCACTTCCCCCTCCCCTTTGCCCCTTTTCTTCCTATTTCACATTACATTTTTGGTGTATTCTTATATATCTTCCATATGTAATTGTATTCCATGCAATGAAAACATGATTTTCTGTGAAACCAAAGTTACAGACTGGCATAGCATTTTTTCATATGAACATGTACAAATTCTTTCATTTCTTATATCTGGTACAGACTAAGAGATAGAAACACAGAGAGAATGTAACTTGTATTAAGCTAAGCAATTAGAAATGATGCTAGGAATGGACTCTATGTCCCCAGTCCTGATCCAGTGCACTTTTTGCTGGAAAATGGACAACTCGTGACTTTCATGACCTAGTTCACATTCGCTGTTATCCAAATATGGTTAAAAACAGGACAGGGCCTATGGAAAGCTGCTCCTGCCTGATCTGTTAGTCCTTTAATATAAGAAGTAATGGAATTTGTGTGTGTTTTCTGATATATTCGGTAGTGTGCTGTCTCTGATAGGTTGAGTTACGGGAAATGAAGTACTTGAAAACACAATAATAACATTCATTCTATGGTCCTCAAATCACCAGTGGTAATTTGTGAAAATAACATATGAACCCAAAGCTAAATGGGAAGCATAGAGAAGCTGAGGAGACTTGAAGCCCAAGGGAAAATGTTGATTACACAACCATGATATTTGTTCCTTAAGAAAATGAAGTGAGAAGGAAGAAGCAAGAAAAATAAACAAAATTTAAAATGATAAGGAGAAGGTGTTCCTAAATATTATGGGTGGATAGCTTTAAATGTCAGTAAGTTTTCCTATAAACTCATCATGGGAAGAGTAATAGAAAATAGTTTTATGTGGGAAGAGAATTTTTTTTTTAAAATGGCATTTAAAGACCTAAATGTCTTAAGTGGAATGACTGTTAAAATGCAGAATTAGACCGCAAGGAGATGTTTGGGGAGTGCATTTGAGCAGTACCTTAAGAGGCAGATAATGGGTGACTCACATCACCCAAGTAGTTTGGGCTGACTCACTTGTTTTGGAAGAAGGTGTCATCAAATTGCCGATTTTGTCAGTGTTTTTCCCTTTGTTCCACCTGGCAGTGCAAAACAAATTCTAAAACATCGGTAACTTTTTCTAGCTCCATTTCCCAAGACAAGGTTCCAAAGCACCCTGTACTGAATCTAAGGTTTTGAATACATAGACATTAGGTAAATTCGAACAGCACTTGCTATCAATAAACTCACACCCCAAGTGTCCCTGTGGAATCCCAAACAGAGGTGACCGGATAGGAAGAGAAGATCCACAACTGGCTTGGATTATGAGGATGGAAGGAAGGTCCCTTCTTACCCCGCTGCTACCTGAATGATACTTCTTGGAACACAGTTTTAACCAATGAATATTATCTGCCTATCCGTACAAGATGTTGTGGACATCCAAATAATAAGGCATCGGTCTTTGTCCTAGAAAGATTCATAGTCCAGTTTCCATTAAGGAAACTGGCACAGTCAATAATGAGGAGTAACATTTGATACGTTATGATACATACATGAAGCAACATTGGGGGAACCCAGAGCCGTCAGCATCTTAGACTTCTAGGATAGAGAGGCCTTCACAGAGCACGTGGCCCTCCGGGATGAATGGAAATTAGGTGATGAATAACGGTTGTCTAAGAAAAGCTTACAACCTTCTCCATACCCATACAGCCTTAGGGGGCTCCTAGAGCACCCAGCACCAAGTCCTTGACAAACATCTTGAAAAATACAATGAGGCATACCCACAGGTTGCACACTTACATAGATACACAACTGAGGAAAGTCCCATCGCCTCTGAGCACACACATTTCACAGCTGTGTTGCAGCTTTCTAAATCTATGCCCACTTGTACTGCAGATAGATTTCTTTGACCCTTTGCTGTTTCCCCACAGGATTGAAAAAACGTACAAGGAAGGCCTTTGGAATACGGAAGAAAGAGAAGGACACTGATTCCACGTACGTACTTTCCCTCCTCCAACAAACTACTTCCTAAGAGAGGTTGTAGTCACTGTCACTTAGAGATTTCCTTGAATATCAAGTGCGTTCTGTGTTCGCCTCATTTCTGGGTAAACTATGGCTGCTCTGCATAAATTCTCTTAGGTCTGTACTAAAAGGTACAGATGTTCAGATTGTCATGACTTGTTACTTTTTACTACCTGATATGTACACTTTCCAGAAGTCCTAGGAGGCAGAAAGTGTGACAATTACTTCTAGAGTAAAGGACTAAAAACTTTCCTTTCCACTTCTTAGCATTGCCTCTTGGGTGTCTGAATGGAAGGAATAGCAAAACACCTGTTTAGGTGGCTTAGCCTTCACCAAGACCAGAGCTGTTTAGTAGGTAACATCCCAAAGCTGTCACTTGGGATGACAAGATTTTGTTCAAACAGAAATTATGAGTCACGCAGCAGAGTCCACAGCAATGCCAGAAGGGGGCTTTTATGGATCTAACTGATCTCGTGCAATTGCCCATGGACACCAATAGGCCCTTGAAAATGTCGATAACAACAGTTTCATTATAATTCCTTCTACTTATTTGATCATCTTGAATTATCCTTCAAAAATATTTGGTCTGACAGCAATCTCAGCTGAGTCAGAAAGGTAACTTCAATATATGAAGGCAGCTGGCCAGGAACTCAGGATTCCAGCCCAAGACCAGTAAAAGGAGACTGGGATCGTCCTCAGAATGGAGCCCTCTAAACCCATCATTTAGCTGGACTCCCTAAAAGTTGTAAAAAAAAAAAAAGTGCGTTTTTATGATGCATAAATTTGATCCCAAGATACTCAGCATTCGCTTCATCCCTGTCCTCCATGAACTTATAATTCACGGAATAAAACACTACACACATTAAAATCTCTTTCATACAACTAAAGGAGATCACACATTTGAAATGTTCCCCGATCCTCAGTACTCAGGTAATGCTCAGTACATGGCGCTTGCTGCTATCTTATTATTACGGATATGAATTTATAGTAATGTGTCCCCTGTGAGCAAAGGAGATGGAATTTCATGGGCGTTAGCGGGCGAGGAAGGCTCACATTTGGATGATGATCTGTTATGCTCAGGGCAGGCGGAGCACTGATCTTGGTTTCAGGAACGTGTGGCCATGGATTTCTCACAACAAGAGCAACAAGAGCAAAGGCAGAGGGAGGTGGGAAAGTCGGGAGGCCCGGGAGAGTCGAGTGGTGAGGTGTCCCGCTGGCCACAGGGAAAGGTGACGTGGGAGGCGAGTCTGGAAAGGAGCCAGCCAGGAGAGCCAGGGAGGAGAGCTCCAGCGCCGGGCTGAGGTGCCTGGGCCCCCTTCCTTAGGCGGAGGCTCACCTTGACACCACGGAAGGATTTAAGCCACAGAATGCAATGGGTTAGGGAGGCAGGAGTTATTTATTGGGTCTAGATACCAAATGTTAAAGTCTCTTTTTGTTATGTTTGTGCTTTTTTTCTTTTGGAAAATACCTCATGGAAATTATATTTACTGTAGTCCTGACAGTTTTCCTGAATGATTGAGATAGAAATATTTTTCTACAATTTACAACGCTTCTTAGTAAGCTTGACACCACCCAGAACAGGTGGCGTCCCCTGCTAGGTTGGAATGCCTGCACTCTTGTCCCAACTCTGACAGTGACACTGTGGCCTTAGAAACTACATTTTCTTTGCTGGGCCTCCATTTCCTCAACCATCAGAAGTTTACTCTCACTGGAATCTCCTTCACCTGAAGGGCCAGGCACTGCACCAACCATTCTGCTAGCAAGGCCTGTGGGCGCCAACCATGAGCCACATGGGCGAGGGCCACTGTTGCTTGCACTCAGCACATCAGAGCAGAAGCCAAGTCCATTGTCCTAGGCAGACAGTGTCGGTGACTGCTCTCTCTAAAGGAAAAGAGAGGCCCAATGTGGTGATGCAGGCCTGTAATACTAGCACTTGAGAGGCTGAGACAGGAGGATCACCTCGAGTTCAAGGCCAGCCTGGGCTACATAGTGAGATCCTGTCTCAAAATATCAGAGGAAGGGAGGAAGGGAGGAAGGGAGGAAGGGGGGAAGGGAGGAAGGGAGGAAGGAAGGAAGAAAGGAAGGAAGGAAGGAGAGAAAAGAAAAGAAAATTAACCTCTCCAGGACAGGCTGAGCTAATTTACAAGGGGCCAAAGCACTTTCTCTGTCACCATTTCTAAAGCAATGCAAATAAGTAAGTTACTCCTCGTGGCTCTGGGTAGGTGCCTAGTTTCGTTCTCCAGCCCTCTGAGGAGTCATCTCTGTGTAGAATCCTGACTACCTCTCCTTAACCTCTTACATCTCAGAGCCCAAATTTTTTATCTGACAGCAAATGAGCCATACTCTGCTTCCCCTAGCAGCGATGGCCAACAAACGAGCTGCTTTGTAGAACCCTTTGTTTTCCCTGAACCTCTGCTCACTAACTGGATCACATAGCATTTTTGGAAAAGGATTCATCATCGCAAAGGCGTTGGTGAAATGCTCTGGCGATTTGCGGGCCCTTCAGCTTTCGTTAGAGCTCACATGAGTCCGCAGTCCCAGAAACCTTGTTGATGAAAACTGTTTTCAGGGCTGCTGAACTGGCTCGGGTTGCTAGGCAACCTGCTAGGGTAGCCGCTGGCACCAACTTGCGCCGACTGAGCCCCTCAGCCAGAGCTTCCTGATTTGATCACCGTTACAGGGCTGATTGAGAGGGGAGGGGAGAGAGCCTGACAAGTGGCAGCACTGTGCAAGATGTTTTGTTGCGCTGATATCCTTTCTAATCCTCAAAGTAATTCGTAGGCCAGTAGTTAAATCTCAGTTGCAGACATGAGAAATCAGTGCCAAAGAGGCTCAGGTCTTGCTGAAGGCCATGAGGAAAATGGGATTTGGAGCCCGCATCTGAGTTCACAGACGAATGCAGATGCATACAACATGCACAGATCCAGATGCTGTCCCAGCTTTGCATTTCTCTCTCCCCATAGGTCCCACCCTGTGAAGCAGTAATGAATTTCCTTACCCGGTCCACCTCCTGAAGAACAGTTCCACCCCTACCGAACTCCTAGAGACATCACAGGCCATCCAAGCACTGATGTAATTGTTTTTCCAACAAAACAGCTCCCTCTCTGAGCATAATTCTGGTTCTTTGTTATAGCAAACATTTTTAAGGTCCTTAAAAAGTGAATTAAAATTGAGAGTTGGAACTGACAGTGGCCACCAGCCTAGTTCCCTAAAGTAATGATGAAAATCCCCCTCCCACATCACTCTACCACCGAGTGGAAGAGACGGCATGGAAATCATAGTCAGCTACACTTTGATTGCTTAGCATGTGTCAGAAAGCATTAAGTTCCTCATGTCTGTTCTCCTCCTTACCCCGGCCTGGAGGGAGTGGGGAACATGTTCAAGGTCACAGAACCATGTGTGTTGAAGTCTGAACTCCAGATTCATCCTCCTCAGGAGCCACTGCCCCTAACTGCTATTGCTCAGTGTCACCACGCACAGTGACCCTGTAACCAAGAGAGTCATCTGAGGGAATCACTTAGCAAATATCACCCTGTTTCCTGCCCTTCTGTAATTAAAGGAGACATAAATATAAAAATATAGAAGAAGGTACAGATTCTCAAAATAAGTTGAAAAAACGCCAGAAAAGACTACGATTATAAGAGACAATTCAGGACTGCTCACAGGGTAGCAAGATAGGAGAGAAGAGACGCATTTATTCTGCCTTGTAGTCTTGTGGAAAACTCTTTCATGTTCAAATATCAAGGATCTTACAACTTACTTGTTTTGAGTTAGCTTTCCTCAGCCAGGTTGCTGGGTGAAGACAGTGGTTAATGATTCTTATTGTGATAGGGTAAGCTGCGAAGCAGGAGTGCTTGATCTTCATAAATGCTATCAATTTCTTTCTCTTACAGAGGTTCTCCAGATCGAGATGGAATTGTAAGTATTTAAATAACCATTTTAGCAGGTTTGCATGTAATATATGCCATGTTTCAATTGCTTGAAGCCCCATTATTTTTTTCCATTTTTCCTCCTGTAGGGTTAAAAAAAAAATAGATTGGATGGCTTTTCAGACTTCTCACTGCTATAATTTTCTCCAATAATTGCATGAGACAAAAATGTAGTCTTGGTGAAGTTGGACTTATTTATTGCATTCCCCTGAACCCCTGTCCAGGAGCAGGGAAGAAAGCTGGGTATGAAGGGTGGGTCAAAAGCCAGACTGCACGCAGGGGCTGCTGCCATTGCTGTTTTTCTGTTTCCAGTCTAACGATGTAAAATCTCATTATGTGAGAACGTATTTCTCCAACTCAGGCTGCAGAGTCATAAAGGAGCTAGGATCCAATAAAAATGAAAGAAGCTTTTTCCCTTGGTAGTTGGGCTGCAGATACATTTTCTATAGTAAATTCAAAAATAGAGAATGGTCTTAAAACCATTTATGGCCAAATTTACAGCCTGAAGGGAGAAATACATCCACTGGACTTAGATTTAACAGACAATCTGACTCCTTGCTGGCTGCCAGATTTCTTGCTTTTTGAAGACGCCTGGGGTACGCAGGCTGAGATTTACCGGAGCTGTGCTTACAGGATTCTGCCCCAACTTCTAAAACAACTTCCTTCAAATCTAAATCAGATGCCTATTCACAGGGTTTAAAAGAACAGCTGTTACTGGAGAAAAAAATGAACTCATATTAGGTTCTCTGGGCTGGAGTGGGAACTAAAATAAACCTGGTGATTAAAAATACTTTTTTCCCCAAAATCACCCTTTATAATAGTATACCTAAGTCGGGGCACTAATGGAAGCTATAGCAGGATCCCCCCCCACACACACACACACACGAGCCGAGGTTCTTCGGATGGGGTGCGTGTACTTCTGTGGTTCTCACTATGGATGTTGAGGAAATAGACGGAAATTCACCAGACACTGGGTAACACTGTAATCAAGGCTCTATTCAGCAGGGGAAAAAAAGACCCAGAAGACTCAGCTTCTCCTCAGCCCTTGCTTCTGGCTCAGAGCCCTCTCCTTAACTCTGTCTCGGGTACTCTTTGCGTCTGTGTCTTCTCTCTGCTACTGCCGCAGCCCCCACCCCAGCCCTCCCGTCCACTCTGTTCCCACCTCTGCAAGGCCCTGCCAGCCCCTCCGCTTTGCTCCGACCACCCAGGACCGGATCCCTGGCTCTTGCTACCATCACTGCCCCTCCTGGTCTCATCCTTTTCCTCTCTCCACGCTCACACCCCAGCCCTGCTTGTCTCTGAGTCATCTCTGAGGCCCCCTCGCTACCTCTGTTCTCTGCTTTGGGGGGGCCTTGTCTAAGCCTCTGGTGGAACACGCACCTTAACGTGGCAGCTGGTGAGGACAGGTGACCGGACACTCTGGGGACACATCCTCCTGAGGTGACGGCTTCAAGCCTGACCCCAGAGCGCTCCCTACGCACTCCAGGTGCCACAGAGTTGTTTGATAGCAGGTGCATCCCGTCCTCTTCGGTCCTTAATCAGAAACCTTTAGTATCACTGGTCGTGGTCAGTGAGAAAGAATTATTTAATTTCATTTTCTCAGGAAAGAAAGCAGAACTGCTCTGAAAGCTACAGTCGAAATAGTTGCATTTTCTCAGAAAGAGGGTAGACGGCTTCATAGGTAATTGGAAATTACTCAGCTACTACCTTTACTACTTGAAAATGTTCCCAAAACTTGGTGGCACAGTTTGAAACCCAGCGCAGACGGTTGAACCCAAGTTTCTGGCTCTATTCAGTCCTTGGAAATCACAACCTGGTTTTCTCTCACTCACACGGATTCCTTGCAGACCTTGTACCTGTGGGCTCAGTCCCCTTTCCAGTGCCTGAGGTCACTCCCAAAGGATGATCCTCATGGGGTCCTGTGAAGCACAGGAGGTGTAGACCCAGCTGGTGCCCATGAGCTGGGTAAGCACATGGCAGCGGGCATGAAGGCTCTCAGGGGTGAGGCTTACTTAACTTCCCTTTCTCAGAATCAGCGCACCCCATTGCTGGTGGCATTGCTCTAACGGAGGCATCCTGGCTGGGCTGTACACATGCCGGTGCGCTTGTCCTGCTGTCCACCACTGAATGTGGCCACGACTGGCAGAGCTGTCCCTCACAGTGTCAGGACCTCGGGCAGCTGAGTGTGACACACATGTTAACCCAGAGACGAACTGATGTGCCCAGCATACACGAACTTTCTCCTAGGCAGTTCCGATCCTCCACAAACAAACCGAAGCTTGAGCGCCACAGCTCTTACCGGAGAGACTCTGGCATGCTCCTGGCTGGACGGGCCAGCAGGGAAGACACATTGGGGACAGCCGGCTGTGTGTGCTCGAGGGGTTGGGGGAGCAAGGCAGAGCTAAGCTGTTCACACTTAGATCAAGGGCGCAGCCATTTCTTTCAGTCTCTTCTTGTTGTCTTGGTGTCTAAATGCTGGCTGAGTGAGGACTAGATCCACACGGGCCGTGCCTGGGACACATCCTCCCCCTCCCGTCCTTCTCCTCCCTTCCTCCCTGGCCTCACCAGTCTCTCTGGCCTGCTGAATAGAGCCTCGTTATGGGCCCCAAAACTTTGCCCAGGTTGGTAGGCCATACAATTTGGCCTAGAAACTGTTTCTTTTATGGCATGTCTGCTGACTCCATGTGATTCTTTATATGAGTCTTGAAGAACAAACAGATCCTTTAATAACTTTTTTCTACATGAAAACAATCGATTCCAGCAGCCCAGCCCACACGAGCCACCCTACAGTAACAGAGCAGAGTGTGTGCGTGAAGGAGGAAAGAAGGTTTCGGTAAGCAAACAGCTTTGAGTTGAAAACTTCCAAGGGGTTGTAGAAACAGTGAGTAAGATCCCAATTTGAAATTTGGAAAACACTGTAGCTTTTTTATTCACCCTACTTTAAAGAGGAGTCTTTCTCCAGTATTTCCAAATTATTTCCTGAACACCCAGGGCTGATTTTTAAACCAGTCATAGACATCTGTGTATCGACTTCTGAATATTCTTTGAAAGAATGATCAGGTATTTAAAAAAGAAGAAGAACTTTTATTTTGTTTGTCTTGGACAAAAAACAAAGATCCAAATTTTTTTTTAAAAATCTGCTGTCTATAAGGAAGGCTTTGGCGATCATGTAAACATTACCGTGAAAATTGAGTAGCGTCATTTGCTTGGATGAGCACCTTGCCAATTACATCGGGAATTTTCCAGGACTTACTCTGTAGGAACCCTGTTCTAAAGGGTGTAGGATCAGGGACCCTACACAGCACTGATGTGCTGTCTCTATAACTGCATGATCCAATGTGGTAGCCAGTGTGACTATTTAGTTAAAATTCAGTCCTGGTCACACTTACTGCCTTTTAAATATTCCATAGCTGCTCGTCCCTGGTGGCTACCATATTGGACGGCAGTGGTTGGAACATTTCCATCTTCTCAGAGAGTTCCACTGGACCGTGCTGTTCTGCAGCATCTTTTACAAAGTGATTCCAGTCTACTTTGGTAAAGATGCTGCTTGGGCAATATATCAGGTGTCTTTAACACTTCCTACCCAGGGACTGGTACAGTGCCATGAGTTGACCTCAGAAAACAGTGGCCATTCACAGTGGAAACTGAGAACTTGGAAGGATGTGTAACGGGACACAGTTTTACTAGATTTGTCGATTTGGCCCATTACATTATCTGAGAATAGATAATAGGACTAACTAAAGAAAATACCCATTTAAAAATATTAACATCCCCATGAGCCTCAGTTATCTTTAAATAAGTCATATATTTAAGTTATAAAGGTTCCTTATGCTAGGTGTAGAATGTTAGAAAATACAGAAATAGAAGAGCGGAAAGAATGCACTACTCCCACTGCAGGAGAAAAATCACCACTTCACACATTGATGAATAACTCACTTTGCTTTCAAGATCAAGCCTAGGTGTCAAATGATGCCCCCCATCCCTGCGCTATGTTCCTTCCCGCTTTCTCTTCAAAGTTTTTGCCCTCAGTGTATCGCGACTGGAAAGCATACCTTGTTCAGTGCACAAGCAACAAAAAAAAATCTTTCTTAGGATTTAACAAGAACCATTCCCCAGCCTAGCTTGAACAGTTTTCCCTTGTGAAACTAATGTTGGTAAGAGCACACTGCCGTGAATGAGGCCAAACTGTCAATGTCTCTAGTAAAGCCAAGTGTGTGAGTGTGTGTCGAATATCTGCTAAGAAGAATGTATTGTTATGAATTGTTGTTTGTGTTTAGTATTTGTTTTTAAAATGTTTCTTTTTTAAACGAAAAAATTTTATGGGTTTTGCTTTTCCTTCATCTCAACCTTCTATTGGTTTTCATAGAAATGGAAATTTTCACTCAGCCCATATATAGAAATTCAGGAACTTCTGTACATACAATATGAGACATGTATTACAAATTGTATGTATAGTCACATACATGCACATGGACATTTACAATTTGCTCAGCTGAACATATAGGCTATCTTGGTTTTAAAGGGCTTTAATTGAGGAGATGATATTATCATGGAAACAAACTGTAGAACTGAAAATTTTGAACTCAGTAATTTAATCTTTTTTAGCTTTTAGATGGCAGTGCTTGGAATTAAGGAATTATTAAAAACTGAAAGGCATATTGATAGCAGTATCATGTTGATCACAAAATTCATGAGTTTACTCCTCTGGAATCAACTTAATTCATTTGATTCCTGATTATTATAAATTAAATTTTATATTGAACTTAGTTATTACACATGCTTTCTAAGAAGGAGTTGGTGCATTTTGCAATGAAATTGTATACAAAAAGATCAATAAAACAGAAATTTAAAAAATACGACAAAAATAGGAACCACGCCTATTTTCAGGGAAGAGAGGAATTTTTATTGTCACATGATAAGTTATTAAGTGGAATTTGCTCTCAGCAGTAGCTTCCTAAAAGGAATAGGTACAGAACTGACATGGGAAGTTGTGAACAAGATCCGTGAAGAAAGTAGAAAGAACATCACTGAGACATCAATTGGAAGAAGTCATTCTATGGGAGGATTAGGGGGCGCAGCACCTTTGACGGGAGCAGGGCAAAGATGGAGAGAAGCACAGGCCTGGGTTTGGGGTGCAGGCGTCTGTGGATGCACGAAGGGGTTCCCCACATTTGTACCTTCCATGCAGTGGTGTTAGAGAAAGAAGGGGTGTCCATATATTCTCTGCCCCTTGTCCCCCTGTGCCCTTGCTAACCCACTGGCAGCTCTTGGGATGCCCGGTGAACATTCGGGAATGTTTGCTCACTAAAGATCCTCTTGCAAACAGAAACACTTCCTCCCCTCACCTATTTGTCAAATTGAGTGTTAGCCACTTAGGCTGATGTTCGAGTGGTCTCTGTGTGTCAGTGCAAAATCAAAAGTCCTGTCCTCAAGCCTCGGGCCGCACCGTCTGATACGTGCTGTCCTGAGATCCGCTGCGTGGTGACACATCGCTGTGTGTGCACAGCGGCATGGTGCCATGGGATGCACCACCATGAGCAACTGGACTTATGTTTCGGTCCTTTGCTCACAAAAGGAAGAAAATTTTAGCAACTTTTGTTTGGATGTTCTTTGTTCATGTGTTTGTGGTCACACGTCACAATTGTACTTTAAGATAAAGTTCCTCTCTGGAAATTCTTGAAATAAACTTCAAGATAATCAAGAGCCAAAGTAAAACTTTAAGACAATCAAGACTGAATAATGCTCATTTTCAATCTACTCACAAAAATATGGGCACAGGGAGGCAGGGAACACATGGGCAAGGGAAATCCACCCCGATCCTCAAATTCTATGCTAATAACTTGGTGAGAAACTGCCAGTTGGAAGGAATACCAGCCTCACTTGTAATAACTAGGGACTGAATAAACTAATCTGGAGCTTTCTTCTTTTGTATTTTATCTGGTAGTTAGGAAAAAAAATTAAGTCAGTGTTTGAAATGCTGAAAGATTAGTTAATGGCTTGGATGAACACTCTTTGGATATGTTGGAATTAATTGTATATGATAGCAACATAGAAGTCAAAATGTTGCCATTGGAAATATATCTGTATTCATTATATCCCCTGAAGGTATAGAGAATTAAATTATAATGTAGGTGTTGCTCATTCTCCCATAATTACATAAAACTTGAGCCTCTAGCTGTTAATAGCTCTCTCCCTAGGACCCTACAGGCTTTGTGAAGTGAGTGTGTAGGTTTTTTATTCAGTGTCATGGCAGCCGGATTTTCCACTCATTACCCAGTGTGGTTTCATACTAGGCTGTTCTCATTTGTCTTTCCAGTGCTGGATTTTGGTAGCACTTGATAAATATAGATAAGAGTTCCATGGTTTTTGTTCTGTTATTTGTTTGGTTTTCATTTAAATGTTGGTCTCCTAAATTTATTTTGAAATTTATTACAGAAGAAAAGCAATGGAGCACCAAATGGATTTTATGCAGAAATTGATTGGGAAAGATATGTGAGTATCAAAATGCTGTCTCTTATATCGAGTATTGGATAATTTAGAATTAAAGCACTCCAATTTATAATAAGACATGGAGAAAAGTGAAATACATGAAAGTCCCTCCATCTTATAAGGAATTTCTGCACTCTCAGGACAGCAGGGAGCTGTCTCCTGATTGGACACCTGGTCCTCCTACCCGTGTATTAGCTCTGTGTGGCCATAGAACAGTTTTTTGTTGAAGTTAGTATAGTAGTTAATTTCCCAACAAAAGTGGAGTTGGTATAATAGTTACTTCGTATTATTGTGACAAGGACTCGATGAGCCTTAAGTAGCTGCTCACAGAACCTTTCCAGAGCATACCAACCCAGGACGTGCTGAGACATGCTTTTTCTTGTAGTAACGCTGGGTGTTTCTGCCCAGATTCTGAGCAGCTTTGAGAGTCGAGGCAAGTCACTTAACCACTGAGCCTCATGGTACAGAGTCCCAGGTCAAATGACAATCACATGTTGCTCTCCAAGGAGTGGTGTGAACCCAGCAGAGCCCTAAACTCTCCCCGTAATTCCCCCCCAAACCGACTAATGTCACCACCACACTTCACACACCACAACAGCGCCACCTGTTGGACCGAGCCGGGATCACTCTCAGGTGCCTCATGGAGAAGGAGGCAGTGGTTTCTGTCCTGAAGTTCGGGTGGGTTGCATGTGAAATACCCAAATTCATGAAATCACCGGATGAATTTGCTCTTAGCCTTTAGCCGACTCTCCTAGCCCGACTGTCTATTTCATGAAAAGTAAAGCTTTTGCATATTTGTTAATAAGACTTGTTTTCATAATAAATACATCACTTATTGCATATTCACTGTCATTTATAATAGTAAATGCTATTAAAACCTTTCCTCCTGAAAAGTAAAAGACCACGTTTTCTATACTGTCGAGAAAACTGAGGCTCAGGGAGGTGAAACTCCTCATGTTTGCCACCTCTGCTGCCCAGATATGCCGCTCTGCCAACATGCTGTCTTCTTCTCGGCTTATTTCCCAAGATTGAGATCCTTTTGATATTTTTAGCACTTCAGCCCCCTAGAATGTTTAATAGCCCCCAACTTACATTCAGATTATTCACAGATAATGTTACAAGGGAAACTACTAGATAGGAAGAGGAATTTCTTTTCTCAAAATCAATTCTTTTTTACCTAGAAAGATTTTCTTGTATTTTGTAGGATTCTTCAATACACAAGAATAGTAAACTCTAAGCAAAAAGGAAGAATGATCATTAAAATGTCAAATTATTCATCAAATTCTACAAACAACCTCCCATCCCTCACAAAAACCCTAAACTCTAGTGCTGCCCCCAGGCATGAAGTGTTTAAATGACACATAACTTCCTTCAGATGGGTTTGGTCCTAAAAATCAGATCACACAGAAATTGCTGTTCAATTGCTCTAAATGTTAAGAAGAATTTTATTCTTGACAGCGCCCCCATTGTGGTAAGAAAAGTCTCAGAAAGAATGTGAGCGTTAAGCAAGGTTCTGAATGTAGGTAGAGGCAAGCCAGCTGTGTATTTGAGCGAAGAGAAGTCCATGCTGGCAAAACTGCATTCGTGGGGACCCTGAATGAGACAGTGCTGCAGAATCCAATGGTAAAAGTTCACAGCAGGACCCAGACATGGTGGGAATGCCAGCATTCTCAGAGGCTGAGGCAGGAGGATTGCCCAGAGTTTGAAGCCAGCCTGGGCTGCATAGTGAGTTCAAGGTCAGCCTGAACTACAGAGCAAGACCCTGTCTCAAAAACCAAAAACGACGACAGCATTTTCCATGGAATCCAGGGCCTGTTCTTCCTGCGTGGCCACGGCGTTATCATTGCTTTAGAGGCTCTGAAACTCCTCCGCCCCACCCATGCTCTCTGTCCCAGGCCTGCAAACGGAGCCACCGTCCTGCTGTCCGTCTTCCTCCCTTCCGGCTCACAAGGGCCCTGTCTCACCTTGCCTGGCCCCGGGCATGGGAACGAAGCCCGATGCATGTGTCTTGGCACAAGGCATCTGGTTTCACCTCAGTTCCTCCTTGGTGATTGGGATCATGTTTTCCACTTAAGGCTGGGCTGTCCTGCAGGGAGATAAAGTGTGAGCCCCAATTCTGACCCTACAGTGGGAACTCAAATGTGGACTATGGAGCCCAACCCTGCAAGTGAAGTGGCCTTTTATCTTTCCTGCCTTTTTCTTACAAGTACGAGCTGTCCTCGGGCAGGGTTGAAGCTGGAAGTACCGGGGGCTTCCAGGACCTGGAGGGTCCAAACCTGGACTCTGCTGGAAGCTTCCTCACCCTTTCCTCCTGGACCTTATCTGTTTCCTCAAGCTGATGATCAGCCCTGGACTCCTCCCATCCCACTGACCTGAGCCAGGGTCTTGGAGCGTCCATCTTCACCATCCTTGCTCCAGGCCCTCTGCCCTAGGCTCCCTGGAATCAGATCCCCAAGACACCTTGATTCTGCAGTCAGCGTGCCACACCCCACAGAGAGGCTACAGCTGCTCCGACCTGGAAGGCACGGGGCCTCCCACACAGCTTCTGTCCCTTGCTGGCTGCTGTCATGCCTCCTGCAGGCCCTTCTGCCCTGTCACTCTGTCCTCTCCTGGCTATACAGAAAGGTTCATGTGAACATGCCCGCATCTTTCAAATATCACTGATTTCCTCTTCCTTTTAACACTGGTGGGCTGTTTTTGTTTGTGGGTGTTTTGTTCTGCTCTGCACTGGGGATTGAGCACACCAGCACTCTACCACAGAGCTACATCCTCGACCCTTTTTTAAAATTTTTAATTTTGAGATAAGGTCTCACCTAGGGTCTCACCTGGATGGGATTCAAACTTGCCATTCTCCTGCCTCAGCATTCCTAACTGCTGGGGATACAGACTTGTGTCACCACAAATGGCTTAATGTTTCGTGTTGAGTTGTTTTTCTTTTTGATTTTTGCCTACTCAAAAATATTTCAGGTTCCCTGAGGACAGATCATTTGCATTATGATCCCTGCATTGCTGGGCATAGTTCTTGGCTTACAGGAAATGGCAAAATAATGGCAAAATCTCTTTGTGTGCCACCTCTTGATGACAATTGATTCCTCCTCTATTTTCAGACTAAAAGAATTCTCCAAGTTTCCCTGGGTAAATATCTAAAGATACACTGCTCAAAAGTTAAAACCTTAGCCCCCTAAAGGAGAGACCTGCCTATATCCTCAAATAGATGATGCTAGAAAGAAAACAAATAATTCCTCCATCATTTCAGGGTAACGACCTGCTCCTGTGCACTTGTATTTTGTAGAACTCACCTGAACTGGATGAAGAAGGCTACAGCATCAGACCCGAGGAACCCGGCTATATCCTTTCTTTATTTGTTTTAATTGTAATTTTTATTCTCTCTCGGAAAACAGTAAGCTAAATTCAGATTTTACAAAGGTGATGAAATCATCTAAGCTACTTTTCCTAACTTTAGAGATGGATAAAGAGCCCAGGGAACGGCCTGAGGGCTACCAAGCAAGCAGTTTGCCCTAATCTATTCATGGGGGAGGGGGGAGAACAGGAAAAAAAGCACTGAAGCCCAGTTGTGTGATTGTGGGTATTGAGCCGTCTGCTCAAACCTGACCTGACAGCGTCATTCATGATCACTGGCAAGTCGCTCCCGCCCTGCTGCCCCGCCCCCCATTCATTGCTGGGCAAAACATGTCTCCCCCGAAGCACTTACAACTCAACCCCAGCTGTAGAGTAGCCGTCCTCCCCTCTGTCTGAGGGTGATGGGCTCGGGCACCTGTGTCATGCGGAAACGCCCTACGGCAGCAAAGATGTAGGCTGTCAGTGATGGCTCCTTCAAATTCACCGTCTTTGATCCTGCTCAGAGGACAGGTGAAGAAATCCTAGCCTTCGCCTGTTTATTTTTAGTTTTTTGGCTTTGATTTCTCAGCCTCTGAGGACCCTTTGCCATGTCTGTGTCTTAGCCTCATCGGCAACTCCCAACAGAAGAAAGAGCTAAGTATCTTTAACTGTGTTCTACCTACCAAAGGAAAGCACTTTTACTCCTCCAGTGAATCAGAAGAGGAAGAAGAATCACACAGGAAGTTCAATATCAAGATCAAGCCATTGCAATCAAAAGACATTCTTAAGAATGCTGCCACTGTCGATGAGCTGAAAGCATCAATAGGGAACATCGCGCTGTCCCCATCACCCGTGGTGAGTGGCATTCTCATGCTAAGCTTTGGTGACACTGGGCAGATACATGTGTGCTGCTCATCGGAGACTCCTCACACTGGAGGCTGCTGCATACGCTCACCATTTCCTGAATTCCGTCACTCTCTAGCTTAAGAAAATTCACTCACTTAGTACTGCACTTCTTATGCTTTGCAAAATGCTAAAAATGCGTGGAAACACGTTTTCTTTTATATTCCTGCAAGTATTATAACATAGAAAGGAAAAAGTAACAAAAAAAAATCCACACTTACTTCTGAGGCAGACTTAATGATTAAAAACAACATGAAGTTCACAGATTTACTGAGTTTTAAAAACACATCTTAGTTTCCTTTTTCCTGGTACAAACACATGAAAGGAAACTAAGAAAAATGTTTTTAGAAAGATTTTTCCTTGCTCTGGTCCAAAAGGAAATAATAAAAATCAGTTTAACTTGGTAGTAAAACTCCTATTCTTTATATTTTATTATCCAAGGGTCTTAAACACTCATCGTCAGGGTACCGCAAGTGCAATCATTGACCTGTTTTATATTATTCAAATCAGTATTGTCTCACAATCTGTGCTTCCTTCTGTTCCTCGATTCCTATCTACTAAATTTCTTTAGTTGCTAAATTCTGAATCTCCAAATTTACTGGGTTTTTTCCCTGTGGTGTTTGGTAAATGCCACCATTGTTTTCTAAAAATAGCTGTGAGGAGCAGCTGAAGGCTTTTGTGTTGCAGCCAACACGGTGTTGGCATCTTCCTTAGGGGACTCTGATCTCCCAGCAGCCTCTGCCTGAACAGACTACTTAATAAACCCGGGGTCATTTTCCAGGTACTTCTGGAAATTTCTCAATTAACCTTTCTAAAGGAGTTGTAATCGTTCATCCTTGGAGAATAAATTTCTGCCTGCCTGGGAGGAAGGAAGTCTATAATGACACCTTCCTTAGACCTTGGTGCTTATCAAGACTGTTCTCAGTGCTGTTGGAGACAAATAAAATGATTGCTAATCATAACTGACCACAGCAAGTGATATTCTAGGTAATTTTTAGTCATATACCACCTGCCACCCAAGCATAGATTTCTGAAAAGGATGAAATAGATTAGTTTTCTTGCACCTCCTTAGAACAAGATACAGATTTTAAGTTCACATTTCTAGTAATGGGGGAATCTTAAATTCATACATTTTCACTTTTCAGCTGGCACCTTTCAAATCAATTTGAACTTAGAGAATAATTTGTGATAGTGAAAATTTATTAAGTGCCAGAAAACAATTTGCATTCACTTCTCTGTGGGGCCTAATAACTTTAGCGGGCACTTGGAAGCTACCTGGGGTAAGTGGAAGAGGGCATATTGGCGAGATTATGCGAACAAATGTACGTGGAGTCCCAGTTAGGGGAACTGTCCCAGAAACACGGTACATGTATGCTGAAAGCTGGTTGAATCGAGGAAAGGAGAAATCCTGCATCAAAAAGAACATGTGCCTGAGTCATCTGCTAGAGAGTCTTTCAAACTGGCACTGTTGAGAGTGCAGGGAGAAGAGTATTTGCTGGTTTTGATCTCTTCTCAACACCGGCTGCTAAGGTACGATATTGGCATGATGTGCTTACTTAAGACTGGTGAAAAAAACCTTAGGACCAGCAACCACCCAAGCCAGCGGATCCACTGTTCCTCCTCCCTCCACACCTCCAATTTTCCCGCCAACATGAGAACTCATTTCTTCCATTATGTGGTTCTCAAGTGTGTGTAATTTTTGATGTTTAGTATAGAAGAGTAGGCTACTCATATTTTAAGAACAAGGGAGCACAACATTCTTAGCTATAGAATGCTTGTCCTCTTCTAGATTACCACATGTCCAGAGCATGATCCAAAATACAGTGTTTCACTTTTTAAAATTTTTATTACAGTGAAAGATATGTTGCCACTAGCCCCCCTTGATATTTTCCCCCTTGCTTCAAACACACACTTTTCCCATAGCTCTTGCTACTTCTTGTAGCAGCTCTGGAGTCCTCTTTCCTGAGGGTCTTTAGTTGTGCTGTCCTGGCTGCCTTGATCTCCTGAATGGATTCCAAACATTTTCCTTTCATGGTCATTTTGACTGTGGGGAAGAGCCTGAAGTCACACAGTGCCAGATCTGGTGAATAAGGTGAATGAAGATACACCATCATGTTTTTATAAGCTTCCTTTCCTTTGGGTGGTACTCGGCAGCAACATTCACTGGAATTTTGATCACCTCATGAAGATACTCAGGAAAGAGGACTTCCAGAACTGCTTCAGAAAGAGGTGAGAGTAATGGGATAAGTATATTTGAAGCAAGAGAAGTGTTTTGAGGGTGACTAATGGCAATGTTTCTTTTACTGTAATGAATTTTATAATTTAAGCATTTGCTATACTTTTCTACCACCCTTCGTATATCCCATAATTGACATGCACCACTGCATCTCCATAACCAAGCAAGTAGAAACAACTTCCTGAAATCCAACTGACACTGTGATAAAAGTGGCAAATGATTTGTACCACTTTAGGTGTCTCCAGCCAGACTCTTAGACATCTATACTTTCTTCAAATAGTTAAAAAGAAATAGAGCTACACCAGTTTAGAATGTATCAACATATTTCACTAAGGTGTGGCTGTTGTGGTACAAAAGCATCAATCACTAAGTTCATAGAAATAGAGGATATTCCAAATGATTTATAACAATGGCTTGGGCCAAATTTCTAACTTCTATTTCTTTTGTGCTTTACTTATTCTTTTACTATTTTTATTCTTATTATCTTCAGTACTGGGGATCGAACTCAGGACCTTGTGCATGAACTCAGGCAGGCACGGTGCCACTGAGCTAAATCCCTGGCCTCTACTTGTTCTTTTTATTCATCTATAAATATGTATCTATGAATTATAACTCATTTTACCTTGAATTGGTTTTATTTTATTTAAATAATTTCCCTGTACTCACTAGGTGACCAAATTACTCAGCAAATGAGTAAAATAAAATTAACTAATTAATCATGTGTATCCATGTACATATGCAATATAAACCTATCTGAAAATGACTACATGTTAAGAAAAAGCTTCAACAACATAGAAAAGTGGGGTTTAATTGCTGGCAAAAGTCCCAGTGTGTAGCTAAACAAATAAATATAATTTCAGTCCAGCCCTTTGGCTGACAATTTTTATATAGAAATAAAATATAACATGGGCCATAAGAAGACCAAACAACAGAAAAAGAAGCAATGACGCAGGACTTAGCTCCCAGGTAAAGGATGTTACTTCCTGTTCTTACCCTGTTGTGGCCTCCTGATATTGAGATACTGTGCTCACAGGCAAAGAATGAACATCATATAGGTTTTAGTTGCTGATTGGACATTACTGTAAGGTACAGTGTTGGTTCATCTGCCTTACCTGAGACCAAAGTAATAGTGCCTTAAACAAAGTAAGTGATTTCTCTCCCCCATAAAAGTCAGTGTTGGGAGACCATCCAGAGTGTGATAGAGTCCTATTTCAAGGGTGGCTCAAAAATCCGGGAACTTCCAGTGCCATTGCTCCTGTTTTCCAAGGGTGCTGCTCTCTTACCACCAGCAAGCCCTCCCATGTAGGAAAGAGAAAATGAAAAGCAACTGGTTTCCTTTAAGGGTTTAACTCAGAAGTTGAGCACACCACTACCTCTCAGATCCTCTGACCTTCATTCAGTTACATGGACACTCTAGCTGCAAGGGATGCTGGGAAATGGCACCATCTGCTGAATAAGTATGTAGCCAGCTAAAGTTCAGGTTCTAGGACTAAAAGACAAAGGAACAGCTCTCAGAGGACAGTGGTGGTTTCTGACACTATGTTTTAGATAATCTCAGTTTATTTAGAGGAGTTCATCAGGAAATGGGATTTTCCCCCATTTGTCTTCAAAATTATTCCCTGAACTAACTGAATCCATGATGTCCCCTTTTAAAAATTTCTAATTGCTAATTTCAAAAATGTCAATGTTGCCATATTCCATGTTAGCTAATAGTTGGAGGAGCAGATACAAATTTCAGTGAGAACTCACCCTGTTTGGTTAAGGTGTACCACTCCAGCTGTAACAGTGCTTCCTCTGGCTAAGGATGTTCCCTACTTTCTATGGTAGGCTGTTTCATTTTTGAGAGATAAGCCTTCCTTCCATTAAACCATATGTGTCACTCTTGTCCTTGGTTGGAGTTGTGCTCTTTAGAAAGTGAACAAGGGTAAGACTGCTCATTTTGCGAGCTGGTTTTCCATGGAGCAGACAGATTCCAACTCAAAATGCAGTGTGCAGGATGTGTATTAAGGGTGACCTCGATCTTCACCCCTGTGGGTTGGGGTGGGAAATGGGAAAAGTTGAACCATTCTGCACATCCAGCCACAGTCTGCACTGGTCCCAGGGGAAGCTGGGGGTAGAATGATCCTTCCATACCATTGTGAGCTTGGCTGAGATGAAAGCCTTTATCCTCCTGCATCAGCCAGTACTTGGCTAAGAGCCCCACGTGGCCTTGGGCAAGGCAGTGCACTGCAGCAGAGGCTGACCTGGAGGTATGGACACTCGAAGGCTGTCTGTCAATAATGCTCTTCCATAACACGTGCCACTCAGCAAATGCTTGTGAGTGAACCAACAGCATGTGAGTAGGACCGGGGCAAGGACGGAGCACTGTGACTGGTGACCACACCCTAGTTTCACACTCACCCACCCTTTATAAAGCCACCTTGTTCACCACACAATGAGCCACCTACCTGCACGTCCATCTGGCCACATATTTCCGTTTGATTCATTCGGTAATGGAGCCTTTATTAAATGCAGTGGTGAACTGGACAAACATGAAGACCCCACGGCCCGGCTCTGCCATGCGAGAGCCCTGGGGAGAGCTGAGCGTCCCTGGACGCTTTGCACCTGCACTTAGGGCCACCGCCTTCCTTCCAGGTGCTGTGTGGCCATCTGCACAAGTCACCCCTAGAATTTGGAGTCCAAGGAGGCAGCATCATAGTGGCAGAAGAGCATAGCA